AAAAAAAAAATCAATTCTTGTGCCTTTTATACCATTTCTCTAGTATCCAACCCCATTATTTTTGTGTCAATCTCTTTCAACTAATCAACTTCAAAAAAATAGAAAAAAGAGACTCCGGCAATGACTTAATGCAAGCCACTGCAACACTGCTCTCCTCATTGAAAACTTAAAGACAAATTAAGAAACCACTAAAAGGACCACTAACTTCTTGGTAAATACTAAAAATAAAACTGTCTCTTTTTATATGAATCATATATTGTTATATTGGATTTCAACTTTAAAGTTTTGTAAGTGTTTTTTATTTTATTTTAAAATTTTGTTTTATGCTTGTTAATAGATATGTTCTAACAAAGAAATTAATATACTCTCTTTATTTTAAAATAATTGATATTTTTTATTTAGAATTTATCTCAAAATAAGTCTTTTTTTTTATTTTGAGGAAGATAAATAGTTTTTTTTTCTATTTTAACCATATAATTATCTCTTAACTTTAATTATTTATTTTTTAATGAAAGTAGATATTTATTTTTAGTTATTTTTTAAGTACAAAATAGATAACGATAAAAATTGTTTTCAAATCTTTCATTTGAAGATAAAACAAAAAAAAAATCTATTATTCAAGTATAGAGGGAGTGATATTTAAGTAATAAAATTTATTGATTTTTTATTATCACAAAAAATTGTATAATTTTCTTTTAAGATTTAGAATTGTTGAGATTACAAATAAAATTGAATATTATGGTAATATTGAAGTTATATTGAATAGAATTGGATCAGAGTAAAACAATTAAAAAAAAAAGAAAGTACAAATCCATAAAGAGAACATACATAAATTCAATAAAAGAAAAAACCTTAGATATACTCATATAGAGAAAAGTAATAGGAACATAAATTAGTATAAAAGAAAGATAAACTTATATAAAGTGTAATTAGCTTGTAAAAAAGGAAAAAAAATTTTGTTTGCTTGTAGAAAGTTATAGGGTAAAGAGATATGATGTTGTTGTATTTCTAAATTATGTCAATGGCTTATGGAGACAAGAAAATCAGAGGTTTATAGTCTCATTTACAAATTAATTACTTTGATTTTTACTCTTTTAGTTTCTATAGCAATAACAAAAAAAAATATTTTCTATCATGAAAATTATGAAAACGAGACTTCGCAGCAAAATGAAAGATAAATCTCTTTTCAAACTCTTTGATTGTTTATATTGAAAAAGAAATAGTTCACTCATTTAGTGTAGACAATATTATAAATAGATTTTGTGACATAAAAACTTGTGAAGTATTATTTTAATATATGATATAAAAGTAAGTTTTCAAAATTATAATGCATGGCTCCCCTGACTAAAATTCCTGGCTTAGCGCCTGATTGTATATATACCGACTTATTGATCCGAGTGGAAGGAACTTGATTTCTTTTAAATAAGATCTTCAAATTGAATTTTGTGAATGAGAAAATAGGCACTGGGAGCGTTTCCCTTATATGAAGTCGAACTCGGTTTGACTCCGAATTAATTAAGATTCAATATGATTTTTAGATACCAAGATATTAGTAAAATAAAAAAAGAAAATGATTGTATATATATCATATAATTATATAATTGGGTTCTTTTAATTTGTGTTTTTAATAATAGTTTTTTAGTATTAATTATCATTAAAAAATAAAAATTTAATATTTATTTAATTAATCAATCAATTAAAACAATACGTAACATTAATAATAAAATTAATTTCAACTTTTGTTACTTTTTATATTTTTTTTAGGAATACTTTTTATACTAATTAATATAAAAATATATATTAATTATATTTTTAATCTGTATCTTAAATACACAAATTAGATAAATCTTATATAATTATATAGTATTGTAAATGGTCCCATGTCTTGATTTAGTGATAGAGATTTTTCAACAAGTGGGAATCACCTCTCGTAAAATACGTTTTCAACGTTTTCAAATCTCAGCACGATTTTTTTTCCGCCTTTAAATTGCCTTAAACAATTAAATGCTAAATTTGGTCCCTCAACTTTAGTGAGTTGCACATTTTGGTCCCTCAACAATTTTTTGCACTTTTTTGATCCCTCAACTATACGAAATGCACTCCGTTAGTTCTTCTGTTAATTTGGGCCATTAACTCTGCTTATGTGGCATTTTTTTATATTTTTTTTGATAATGTGGAGAGAAATTTAAAAAAGTGATGATATGCACAAAAACTTTTGCTATGTCATGCTACCGTGGCCAAAACGCGCCCAATCCGTCCAAATGGGTCTCACATCACCACTAAGAATTGCTTCTTTGCCCATTGATTACTGTTTCTTTTCTTTCCATGGACGATGTTCTTTCCATTTTCAAGATTGAAATTATTTAGACAATACTTAAAAAATATGAAGAAAAAAATCCCAAAAATCTGGGTTCCACCGAACCCAGCAAATCTAGGCTCGATGTAATCCAACAAATAAGTTCTATCGAACCCAGTTCGATTCACTGGAATCCA